TTTACATTCAGTCAGCAAATGCGAGAATCAAGTGCCCAGGCCCAAATGCCTTAGATAGCTATAGCATGGGAAAATCTGTGCAGGAGGCCCAGGTGCTCTTCTTTGCCTCTCAAAGGCCCTTTTTAGAGCTAAGAAATCAGGAAAAGAACCAATTTTCACTGCCTAAAGAAGTACCTCGATTTTTTAAAAAAGAAGTCTTAGAGGCCAGGTGTGGTCTTCTCCTACAACCTCATTTCCCACTTAGACACCTTTTACCACGATACGTGCCCTGAACAGACAGGAGCCACTGCATCTTTTAGTCCTGTTCTCTCTTTTATTTGATATGACAAAATATAGTTTCAGGAAAGACTAGGAGTCAATAAATAGTTGGGCAACAGCAATAGGTCAAGAGGGCAAGAAAGTCATGGCAGGAAATATGGGATAGCAAGGAGCCTTGAGAACCATTTGCTGGGGGGTCCAATGGCAGGAAACCCCAATAGTTGAACTAGCTAGTAGGCTGGGGCTCAGAACCTGAGAGGGCATGCAGCAGGCATTGACTGGGGAGGTTCCCTGGGGTTTTTTTGGGGGGGGGGTGAGAAGAAGGTTAAGACAGCATAGGGAAGCTCCAGGGCCTAGGCCCACATCTACTCACCTCCCCCTTTCATATGCAAATTCTTAATAAGTGAAGGACTTTAGTTACTATAAGTACCCCCCAAATCAGGCCATAGACTCTGCCAGGTACAACCACTGGCTCACCAGGTTGCAGCTGCCCTGTCCACCTAGCCAGAAACAAAGGAGAGGGTGAAGTCGGGGTGAAGGGCCTGTGACTGACCAGACCCACCTTAACTCTGGCCCCGGCAGAGCTGGGTTAGGTGCCTGCCAGCGTAGGTGGATGAGGCTGAGGTTCGTTTGGTACCAGCCTACAGTGCCCTGCAGACCTCTGGGCAAGTCCTGCAACACATGCCCTGGGCCCCCTCCTCCAGTGCCCAGTGGAGTGGATGGGAAATGGACAGTTCGGGCAGCCCCCGTGGGAACCCTGGGTCAGTGGAGATACGGAATGCCAAGGGGGGGGGGAATTGCTTTTTGTCTGTGAGGCCCAGGAGCCAAGGCTCCAGCCTTCACCTCCAAAATACAGAAAGGAAAATCGAAAAGGAAAGGCGCAGGGAGCAAAAGCCGACTTGGGGGTTTAGGGGTTGGGGGTTCTCTCTGCGGGCGGGCCTTCCTTCCTGCGGCCTCAAAGAGCCTCTTTGCTTTTCATTTTGGAATCTTTCTTCCACTTCATCCTGCGGTTCTGGAACCAGATCTTGATCTGTCTCTCGTTGAGACACAGGTTGTTGGCGATCTCTATACGCCTGCGGCGAGTGAGGTAGCGGTTAAAGTGGAATTCTTTCTCGAGTTCCAGAGTCTGGTAGCGCGTGTAACTGGTTCGGGAACGCTTGCCGTCGGTCTCTGGAACAGAAATCCCCCCCCCAAACACACACAATGCCAGGAAGGGGGGTGAAGAGCGTGCAGCACCCCAACATCCCACCCCGGGCTCCAATGCCTTCCATCCGCCCCGCAGCCGGGAGGGAAAGGAAGCCAGAGTCACAGGACAGGCCCAGAGGGCCGCAGGCAAGCCGGGCCCACCCAGCCTAGCCCCGCGAGAGTCGCCTCCGCCTAGGCAGGAAACTTTCCACCGCAGCCTTCACTCAGCAAGCCGGAGGGGGGGGGGCTGAGTGGGGGTGGGGGGAAGAGGGAGACCCAGGCTCGGACCGAACAATAAGCACCCTCGAGATCCGAGCACCGGGGACCCCCCTCCCGCCCCTCCCTGAGTCGCAGGAATCCTCCGGAGCTCGGAGCACCGGCCGAGCCGGCTCCGCAGGGGAGGGAGGGAGGGTACCGCGGGGGGGAATCCCCGTTCGGAGCCCCTCTCTCCTCACCCTTCAGATCCCTCTATTTTTTTAACTCCCTCCCTCGCTCTCTCTCTATCTCCCCCCCAAAAAATTGAATATTGCCTTTTATACACGTTTTGTTCCTATGATCCAATTATGTCGTCGTAAATTTGGGCGCACACAGCCTCTAAGCCTTTTAGTGGACAGTTTTACGAGCCATTGATGCCTGGATCGTAAAATTTATGGCCGCAGGTTTTTTTTTCTTTATTTGCCCCGCATGGCCTATAAAACCCAGGCGGACCCGAGCGCGCAAAATGAAGTCCTAAAGTTTACCGTGGCTCATGTGCAGTTTGGTCATCCACGGGTAAATCTGTGGCGGGGCCGGTGGCTGGCTCAGTCCGGCGGGCTGCCCTGTCTGCGCCTGTTCCTCTTTGATCTCCCCACTGCTCTTAGCTCGCTCCTCCAGCGCTGGGCGAGCCGCCTTCTGACTGTACATCCCGGGGTTCAGAGGAGCCGCTTCGTCTCTGCCCAGAGCGTGTCCCGGAGCGGCTGCGGCGCTGCAGGCGGGGCGGTCGGGGTGAGCCCGGGGGTTGGCAGCCATGTCTACCCCGTGGAGAGAGTTGGAAGGCGCAGGCGGTGGGAAAGTGATGCTTAAGTCCAATCCGCCGTAGCAGTACCTGGATGCCTGCACCTCTGAGGCCGATCCATAGTTCCCACAAGTTTGCATGTTATAGGCAGGGATATTGGGGCTCTGCTTATAGAATGAATTGGCTACGTAGGAGCTCATGGCGGGGAGGGCCCAAAAAAAATTTCTGCACCCTTTTTGATTAAGGGTGATTTGTGACTCTTTGAAGTTGAGGGGGTTTTTTTGTTCTCCAAAGTGCACAATTTATAGGTGGAGATATCTCTTTCTTTATCCTATGCGCTCTTCCCAAATAAGGGAGCCTTAAATAGAGTCACGTGACTTGAGCGGCCACTCATAAATTTGGCTTGATGACCTCCGGGAGGTTAGTGATGGAAGCCGGCGAAACGCATCTTGATATGTTGGCAAAGCCCAACCAAGGGGGAGAGGGAGTGAGAGAAAAAGAGAGGGAAGGGGGAGGGAAAAAAATGGTTCTTGGAATTGGGGGGTAGCCGGGATAACGAGTCCACAGCGACACCTGGTGCTTACTTGAAGGAATTGCATTCTGATGCTGCGGTTCGCCTTCAGGCAGCTGGATTTTTCTGTCCTGTAGAGAAACTAACTGGTTGTTGCTGAAACAAACCCTTGAGCTGGCTTTTCTAATTCTATTTAAATTAGGGGGAAGAGGAGACAAAGCCCTATTTAGGATGCACTGAAGTACTTTTGGTAGTGGTCCTGTCCTCCCTGCCTTCAGAGCCTTTCAAACTTCAAAAGGCGACCAAGGATAGGGAATTAAGGTAGGGTGTCTCCTCCCCAGGCCGGAGAACCAAGGAGGCTTATCTCTGGTTCTCCAAACCAAAGGACAAGGTCTCTTGGCTGGGAAGTCTCAAGGACGCATGTGGGAGGAGGTGTCTATCCACGTGGGAAAGTGGACTTCAACTTCTGGAGAGGCAGATGTGATGACCAAGGAAATGGACTGAACTAGACTGGAAGGACAGAACTTGGGTGGACAGAACTAGACAGGGAAGCCATGACGTGGAGAATGCTGGGGACTTTCTAGGATGTGTTTGGAGATAAGGAGCCAAGTGGAGCTGCCAGCCCCCGACTTAAATGACAATGGGGCAAGTGTGTGTGTGTGTGTGTGTGTGTGTGTGTGTGTGTGTAGAACCAGGCCCAATGGGCTGGAGGATTCCTCTATAGCCCTGTGTGTGTGTGTGTGTGTGTGTGTGTGTGTGTGTGTGTGATCCTCACACCTCACCTATCTGGGATAGATGCCAGATATTTGAGATTCAAGATAGATGCTACCTGAGGGCAAAATATTGTGAATAATGCAGAGGAAAAGGTCTGTTTATGCCCTTTGGGTGGAAGAGGCCTATGGATTAGGCTTTCTAGGAATCAAAAGCCAAAAAAGCCCACAGGAAAGCGATTTTGCAAGCATAGAGATGGGGCAGTGGGTAGGCTAGGATCTAGGACAATCCCTGCAGTTCTGGGCCAGGGTCTCTACAACTCTTAAGTCTTCTTTTCCTAGTTCCAAATTTTACACTCTCCTGCTTGCTTCTCCCCAGGAAATCACTGCCTCTGCCAGGAGAAGCCCCCCTCCTTGCTGATGGAAGCACTGGAGGGGGCAATGGTGACGCTCTGAGAGTCTGGAAAACTCTGGTGGAATGTTTTTTTCCCTCACTTAGGGAGATCCCTCATTACTTGTCCCTTAGGCCCACTCAGGTTTCTCTGGAGGAACTCGAGATCGAGAAAGCTAGAAGTGAGAAATGGTCAGAGTCCTGCTGAGCTCTTCATCCAAAAGATTTGGGGAGGGGGGGGGAGGAAAAGGAATCAGACTGGCTGGGGCTGTAAGGAAAGAAGAAGGAATTTCGTCTTGGCCACGTTAGGAGTCCCAGCGCAGGCGAGAGATCAGTTTCCAGGCTTTCTTTTTCGAGATGTCCTTGAATCGCTCAATCCCTGCGGAAGGACTGCGGTCTTCTGCGTCCCTCCGCTCTCCGTCTCCGCCACTTTCGCAACAGCCGGCCTGGAGCTGGCTGGACACTCGCCGGTCTGGCTGAGCGTCCCCCTCCCCACACCCCTGGGAGTGGGCAGGGGAGGGTACCTCTGGTGCCTCGTTGGTGCTGCTTTCCTGGTCGTTTGAGGCTCAGGGTTCAGAAGCTGAGGACTCCAGGCGATCACAGGCAGGAAGAAAAGGCCTGCGTCTGGCTTGGAGCACAACTCGACTAAACCGGGTTCCGCCCCCCCACCCCCCTCCCCGCCCCGTCCCCAACGAAAACCTAAGAGGCTTGTTTTTTGGCCCCGGGGTGTGCTTGACTTGCTGTTCGGCACCCCAGAGAGACCGCCCAGCCCCCTAGAGCGACCCCCAGGCCCAGCTCGGTTCCAGAGAAAGGCGACCCCAAGGCCCAGCTCGGTTCCAGGGAAAGGCGAGCGCACAGTACTGAGGATCGCAGGCGGCAGGCAGACGCGAGAGCACTTGGAGCCTTGCTCCAGGCCGGCGGGGGAACGAAGGAACAGAAATGCAGATATAAACTTTTAAAAATAATATCAATTTTATTAAATATTCGAGAACGGATCCAGAGATCGGATTTATACAGGAGGGTAACACGAAGGGACTTATTTATTCATTTATTTTCTCCTACTGGCTAAACAAACGTCATTCACCTTTTTTTTTCTCTTTTTTTTTTGGTAGTTTTTCCCTCTTTTTTTTTCCTTTTTTTAAAATGAGATTGGAACACTGACGGTGCTAAACATAAATATAAATACAGAGACCACAAATACAGCTAAAAATATTCACACAGAAACGGTCACAGTTTGTAATATGCCATAATGACCCCAGGAATCTTTTAAATACAATTTGCCTGGGCTGGGCATTTGCTGGGGTAAAGGGGGGCCCGGATAGAGGTTATAGGGGAGGCCCTGGGGGGTGACTGTGGGGCCAAGGCAGCCCCCTCCTTGGGCCTCCTGCCTTCCCTGGCTCACCAGGCCAGGCCCTGAGGCCCCAGAATGGAGGCCCAGGCCCAGAAGCCTGGGATGAAGTGGGGGGCGGGGGAAGGCATCCAGGGAGTATGGGGGGGGGTACAAGTCCTCCATTTGGAGGGAAATCTGTGGAGTCTGAAGTGAGGTTCAGGGACTGGGTCCCCAAGGCCTGGGTTGGGGAAAGGGCCTGCGGACAAGCCAAGCCGGGGGAAGAAAAAAAAAAAAAAAGAAAACACGAGCTAGCAAGGGAGCTAGGAGAAGGCGCAAGAAGAGTTGTGCAGGGAAGGGAAGGGAGGGGGTCCAGGGCTGAATTTTCAGGTCCATGTCTGACTCCTTACTTTTGTTTCAGGGAGTCGAAACATATCATTTGTGCCAGTGATAAATACAGAGTGTGTGGAGGGGGGGGGTAGCTGGGGTGAGCAAGGGAGAAAGAGGGAAGGGGGTGGCACTTGGTCACTCTTTTTGCTTCTCCTCTTCTGTCTCTTCCCGCTTTTCCTCCTTCCCGCCCAGGCTGTCAGCCGCAGCCCCTCCGCCGCCCCCCGAGAGCGTGGACGTGAGATTAGATTCTTTTTTCCACTTCATCCGGCGGTTCTGGAACCAGATTTTGATCTGTCGTTCGGTCAGGCAGAGCGCATTGGCGATCTCGATGCGCCGGCGCCGCGTTAGGTAGCGATTGAAGTGAAATTCCTTCTCCAGTTCCAGAGTCTGGTACCGCGAGTAGATCTGGCGGCCGCGCCTCCGGTCCGCTCCGTAACCGACCCCTAGAGATCCGGGCACAAAACACACTCAAAGCAATCAGCAAGGCGCCGTGCGCTCACCGTTTAGCCTAGCAGAAAAAGTCCTGACTCTGACTCTCTCTCTCTCTCTCTCTCAACTTGGCCAACAGCTCCTGAGCCCCCCTCCGGGGGGCTCTAGCCTGCTCCCTTTTGCTCTGCCCCACCCCCACTGGGGGTACAGCCAGAACCCCACTTCATGCAGCGCTCCCATAGGGTGGGATATGTGTGTCCCAAAGAAAGATGGGGAGGTGGGGCGGGGCAAAAAAAAAAAACCCTCAGGCAGCGAGCTGACAATCTAAAAGGTGAATTTTTTTTGAAAAAAATCTCCAATACTGGGGATAAGGGCTCCCCATTTCTCTAAGGATGGGGCTTTCCCCCACTTTACCAGGCACCCTAGTTCTTTGGAAAGTTCTCCCCCACTTCTCTGCCTTGTCTCTCTCTCTCCCTCCCCTCCCTTCTCTTCAGCCTAACTCGACTTTGGGGGGTTCCTCTGCCCTGTGCCCCCTCCCCTCAGCCCCTGCCCTGTTCCTGCCCCCTCAGCTCGTCTTGGAGCCCTCCAATCCGTCAGGGGCCGAGGGGGCCAGGCCCCTGTGAGCCAGCGCGGGAGGCGAGCAGAGGGGGCAGAAGCGGGGGCCCTGTCTCGGCAACGGAGGAGACGAGAGCGTGATTGTTTTTATGGGGCCATAAAAAACTCTCTCCGCCCGTTCTTCTAGGGAAGCCGGTCATAAAGCCAGTTCAGTTTATTTAATTTATATCTTGGAGCTGTAAAACTCACCACTGTGCGAATTCATTCGCTGCATCCAGGGGTAAATCTGGATACTGGCTTTCTGGTCCTGGGGCGCAGTCCTGCCCTGCTCAGAACTAAAATCCTGAGCGATTGAGGTCTGTGTGTTATGTCCTAAGGTGTTTTGTCTGCAGTTTGAAAGCATGTCTTTCTCCTGGTAAAAGGAATTAGATCCATAGTCATACGGCCCCCGGCTGGAACTGAATACGACATTCTCCTGTGGCGAATAAAAGGGAGTCGAGTAGATCCGGTTCTGGGCAACGGCTGCTCCATAGGTCGAGAAATGCCTCACTGGATCATAGGCGGTGGAATTGAGGGCGACGTTGGGAAGGACTTCCTGGCCCCCGGCGAGGTGGCAGGATAAGGAAGGGTTAGTGAAGTAGGAATTCATCCCTTTGCCTTTACCTGGTCGGGCTATGATTTCTTTAATATTTATTTCTGTCTCCAGTTTGTAGTCGGAACTAGATGGTTATAGGGACGGCTCCAATCCAGGACAGACAAAATGACAAAGTCAGCTGACCCCCTTCCAGCCAATCGCAAGCCAGATGTCAAGAAGGGGGAAAAAAATCGCTTCTGCTTCTGTTGATTCCCTAGTTGAGACTAAGTGTGTATGCTTTGAAAGTAAGACTTGGATTTCTTTTTAAAATATACATACATATATATATATATATATATATATATATATATATGGGAACTGGCTTGGGAGGGTGAAGGAGGGTACATATCCAAGAGCAGGGCTTTGGACTCCAGGGAAAGGACTTTAAAGAAATCTCTCAGCCCCAGCTAACTTTGCTGTGCTGTGGCCAGGACCAGAGAATTTTCTGTATTTTCCATTTTATTCCATTTGTTAAAATATCTGCCCCTATTCTAAATTACATCCTGACTTCTTCATGAAAGAAACCCCTCCCCAATTCAAGGGGGTGCTCACAATTCTACAGGACATCCTTGCTTGAAGAAGGAAGTGAGTCCCTGCCACTAGACTAGCATATTTCTCCCCCAATCACTAAAAAAAAAAAGTCAAAAGGAAAAAGAAAATTAATAAAGCATGGTGCCCAGAGGGAGAAAAGCAGGGCTGAAGAACCTTGGGTGTAGAAGGGATGTGGAAGCAACTGGGTCTAAAGGTTGAGGGTGAGATTTCAGGGTACAGTGGCAAAGCTGAAGTGGGCAGGAGACGCATGTTGTCTCCTCTGCCTTCTAGCCTCTTTCTGCCTTCTCCTCATGCCCACCCCCCTTTGAGGGAAACATAACAACTTTTACCTAAAAGGGAAAATGTACAAAAAATAAAATAGGTAAGGGAGAAAAAGAAGAGAAAAAGAGGGAGAGAGAAAGAGAGAGAGAGAGAGAGAGAGAGAGAGAGAGAAGAAAGAACACTGAGTCTTTCTAGAGACATCAACTCCTGTTTATGTTGGTGAGAATTTATGATTTGGAGCTAGCCAGGGCCAGTGGGGTAATTCATGTAGGTTCCAGGCAGAAAGAGAAAACTGGTGGTATTCTGGTGGACAGTTAGCTCTAACAGGCTCAAGCCCCTGTACAGGTCAGAAGCCCCCAGCCCCTCTGGATTCACTGCCCTGCCAGGGGAGGCGCCCCTGAACCTGAGTTCTCAGGCTTGAAGACTCAAGCTATGGGCTGTTGGGGAGCTCTTTGCCCAAGTGTCAGTCATCTTTAGACTCTGAGCAGCCCCTACCCTACACACACTCTCCCCTCCCCATCCTATGACTGGAAAAAAAAAGAGAGAGAAAGGGACTGTTAGGGAAAGGCAGCTGTGTGGAAGCTTTAGAGGGAGCTGCAGTGAACTGAAACAGAGGAAGGTGTGCAGATGGGGATTTTTCTCCTGATTCATCCAAACTTAATTTGATGTCGCAACATACACTAAAAATGCTTTGAGTTGACAAAGGGGTGCAGTGGGGTGTGTGTGGAGAACAGTGAAAGCTCATATTCCCCCCCACACACAACACACACACTATTTGTGGGGGGGAGACTGGCTATAACAAGAACCCGGATGTCGCCAGATTTTATGATCTTTTCCTTCTGTGTAACAAAGCGGAGTAATCAATGGGTAGCAATAAAGCCATAAACGGGACTACGCTGGGAAAAAACTCGTTTATTCATCTTCTGTAACGTTAAGGTTTCCCTGGAGTGTCGCTAGGGGGGAAAATAAAGTTTCCAACCCAAAAGCAGACAGTGTGTAGGAGCTGGTGCAGACAACGTGTTAGTTAACACATGAACCTCGTTAGGGGCTGAAGCGTCTTCCTGCCAGACAACTGTGTTGGCTTTTAAAAATCCAGCCCCCATCCTTCAGACAGGAGGGAAATTGGTTGGTATTTTAAAAGGTAGAGGGAAAGATCCCTATAATTATAAAGGTTCCTCCTTTAGGACTATTCATCCCAAAGAGATAAAGGTGAAAGAACAGAGCAGTGTGCTTCCATCAAGAAAGAAATGTTAAGAATAATTTCATTCTAGGGACACATGACAGGTACAAATATAGACACCAATGTGAGTTCCTTTCTGCTCTCAATCCAGCTGTCCTCCGATTCATGGCATGTCTGGGCAGAGGTTTCCAACAGCTGGCTGGGGCTCCAGTCCCCTTGGAGGGCAAGAAGGTAGGGAGAGAGATAACAAGGGTGAGGAAGTAGCCTGGGGCTGAGGTAGGGAACAAGTCAGTGCACCCCTGGACACAAGTAGCCTCTTTCAAAGTTCCCAGCCTCCTTTTTGCCCCTGAGGGTAGCGATGTAACAAGCAGGGGAAGCCGGAAGAAAGAGGAACTTCTCCCCCTATTTCAGAGCAAGATTGCTGGAGGGATAAATCATGTCAGTGATATTTCCTTCGAGATATAAAATTGTTGCAATGTACAACAAATTGAATGATGGAAGATAGGATGTCTTAATGAGGCTTTGCTTTCAATAGGTGCTGATTTTCTATGTATTTTCAAATCTCTTTTATAAGTGGGTGAGGGGAGGGAGGGACCTTGAAAGAAAGAAGGAGCTTTTGGGAAAGCATGAGCTAAAGCCCCCACCCCCAGCAAGGTGGCCTAAGTTTCTACTAACCCCTCCTCAACTAGATCTGAAGAGGAAAGGGGCCCTCAAAGTTGGGGGAGATTATCTTTTGGGGCCTAAAGTCAGTGGGCTTGGGGGGTGGGTGACCTGAGGAGCAGAATGTAAGTCTCAGGCCGGGGAAAGTTAAGTGTTTTATTACGTCCCTAAACAGAGGGCAGAGACTGAAAGGTCTCGCCGATTTATAATGAACAGAAACCAGCTGCTGAGGGGAAAAGGCAGAAATGCTGGCAGGGGGAGAGTAGGAGAAGCAGAAATACAAATAAATCCCCTCACTTAATGCTTGAAGACTTTTGGCAAAAATTAATTTCCAACACACACTCCTCTGTCTCCTTCTGTTCCTAAGGAAAGAAGCTGCCTTCTTTTACTTAGATCTTTAATTATGCAGCTGAAATTTACTATAAGGATTCGCTCCAAGGGGGGAGAAACAGGTCACGATGAGCCCGATCTTCCCTCCATTGGCTTTTATTTTCCTTTTCCTCATTTTGTGTTAATTTAATTTTTTTGGCAAAAGAATGGCTGTATAGGGTGGAGGAGGGGGAGAGCTGGGACTTGGCTTTTTCTAAATATATTTATATTTTCCTGTTAAATTTGTCTGAAAACAATTATGGAAACTCATCAGCAGAAGCAAGAACAGATGTTTTATTAAAACTGCAGTTGAGCTCTGTAAATATGCACAAGTCTCAGGAAGGAGGGAGCGAACTCATTCTTTGTTTCTATAAAAAAACAAGCCTAGAGAAATCAGAGCACACACACACCCCCATCAGGCCCCGCAAGTCTCGGAGAGGCTCGGAGCCCTTCGGCCTTCTGAATTAGACATTTGCAGAGGGACTCGGTGTCAAGAGCAGATTTTTGCTTTGGAAGCTGTAATTAGTGGATTAAAAAAAAAAAGACAGCATTTAAGGGGAAAATGCAGCAAAGGAATAAAGGGGGAAAGTGACCACGCAGCTCCAGTCCCTCCACCCCAATCCAAAACACATGCTTTTCATAAGCACTAATTACTAGGAGAGGAATTTACTGCCTGTGTCTTGGAACTGAGTGGGGTGCAGTCACTAGCCTGGAGTCCCCAGGGCAAAGGGTTTCAGGGGAACTGGGCACTTGGGTACACGTTAAAAAGTTTCTACTTCAGCCTTGCCCTGTTGCAGGGCAGGGCAAGGCTGGGGATCCCTGTGGCTCTGAACTAGGTAAAGGGTGAGTGGAAGCAGATATTGGTCCCGAAGAGGTTCATGGACAGGCCTCACCTTGCCTGCTTTATGGGGAGAGGCATTTGAAGAGAACCTGATGGGAACTGGAATTTTTATGTGGGGGAGTATATTTTCCAAAAGTCCTCCTTATTTTGTGTTCTGTAGGTCTCTCTCTGTCTCCCTAGATCCTTCAACTCACTCCCAACACAGACATATACACTCTAGTCCTGGCCGTGGGCTGCTCCATCAACTAAACCTCTCCCGCACTAAGCAGGTACCCTAACACTGGAGCCATAAGACTCTCTAGTCCCTCCACCTGGGTGCTTGGCTGCTTGAAAGCTACTACAGCTGGCAAACCCCATTCTCTCACCACCCCTAACTCTTGATTTCTAGAGACTGAAAAGAAAAGTTGCCCCGTCAGCCCCTTTTGTGCCATTGGGAGAGGGCTGAAATCCCTCTTAGAGAGAAAGCCGAGTTTCAATAATTGCTCAGCTCACCTCACAATCACACTATTTGGTTAAGGCTTTGCTGTACTAGAGTGACTGTTCAGTTAACCCCACTGGAATAAAATTCGATTTTTTCTTTTGAAAATTTAAAAGTGATCCCTACTCCAAATGCCTGGTATTTTGTATACAAGCTCCTTTGATCTCCATGGAACACTTGGAGCAAAAGGATTGTAAAGAGCTTCACTGGCTACCAAAGAACCTGAACGCAGGGGCTGGACTGTTTGGGGACACCAAAGTCTGGCTTGCCCAAGGGGCTGCCAGTTTTCCTAACACAAGCCCCTCCATAAACATCTTGCATTGCAAAAAAGAAACACTCCTTTCAAAGTTCAGACTTAGAGACACTAGGAGGAAAGTGAAATTTGATGTATTCAACCTGGAAATAAATCCCATTTGTAGGTGCTGATATTTGGGGACAGGGCTCAGGTTGGACAGCTGAAAGGAATTGGGGGTCAGCAGGAAGAGGAGGGGAGGAAGAAGGGACCAGATGGGGCATGTCCAGCTGCTTAGAACTGGCCCAGACACCTCCTCAGAGGCCCTCACTGGTGACTCTTTTAAGCTAAGAAGAGGTTGTAAGACTGCACTGTGTAGCTGCTTTGGCTCTACTGCAATTCAACGGAAAAGAAAGGTATATGGAGGGGGCTCTGCTAATTCATGTCATATTTCCTCTCTTTCCGGATTTCTGTCTGACC